GATAGAAGTGACAAGAAGACGAGGAAGAAGACGTAAGAAGATGCTGGATGACCTTGGGGACAGAAGAGGATACTGTCATTTGAAGGAGAAAGCTCTAGATCGCATTAAGTGGAGGAATTGTTTTGAAAGAGACTGTGGACCTGTCGTCTTGACAGATTACTGATGATGATGATGATGATATGTATTTGTGAAGTGAAAGCGGTTTGCAATGTGTAACTGGCCGCAACTAAGAAACAGTTTGAGCTCAATTGGCGGAATATTGTGTGAGCGTAAAGACAAATTAGTTCAAAGACTCTTTTCTGTAATATATTAACTACTATTACTGCAAGTTCCAGTTATTATAAACTCATGACATGTCTTCATCAAAGTGCAGCAGCTAAGACACTGTTGAACTTGATGTTATCACGGCGGTATTTACGAGGATCATTATCTTGTTGGATGTTACGACGTGTGCTCTGGTAGAAGGTTATCGACTTTTCGGAGAAAGATTCTGCCTCTGTGTTCAGTGTCGAAGATGAAGCCGAGGAAGTGAGCAGCAGTTCCTCACATCTCAGATAAAAACGTTATGCTGTGATGTTATTTCTCATAGCATGGACTACTGTACTGTGATTCTTCGAACCTGCCAGAGTCTAGTAGACTTACAAATTCATTTGACAATGTTTCTGATTGAATTTCGCGATTTGAGTCGTTCAAGAAAACGTGTGTTTGGCTAACTTGAGGAGAGCAAATAGTTCCTCTGTTATTTTAGCAATACCAAGAATTTTACAGAAACAGACAGTTTATTGCCGTGTTCACGAGAACCCTCCACTGATTCCCATTCTAAACCACATGAGCAGTCGACACCCACCAATTCTTTTAAGATCCCGTTTAATATTTTTCCTTCCATTTACGCGTAGGTCTTCCAGTTTGGGCTCTTTCCTTTAGACTTTCCGTACCTCAGTACTGTACTCATTCATTTTCCGTCTCATGCGTAATACAATTACCCGCCGATATCGCCTCTGATTTGATCATCTTGTCCTCGTAAAATGTTCTAGGGATACCTGTTACTCCTCACCCTTATACCCTCAGCATATCGTTCTCAAATACCACAAGTCTGTGTTACTCCCTTAGTCTGACAGATTATTTTGATGTTTTTACAAAATAAAGGGACAACATTGTAATTATATTTTTACGAATTGGGGAGGGTTCGCTCCTGACGGGTTCTGGACTAGATGGCTGGATTGATTGCTCCGTATACATTCATACAACTCGGGACAGGCAATACAGCGCTATCGCTGTTCACCGTCACGCAAGCACTACGGTTATCAGT